ATGGGCAATGCACAAGCAGGAGAGTCACATAACCTGGGTGAGGCAAAGCTATACACAACAATGCTTTCTGTGGGCAGAGCCAAGGAAGAAAAGGAGACTCACATCAGCTGGTTGCAAAGTCTAACCATATGTAAAAATGCTCACTGTGGGCAGTGCCAAGGAAGGAGAACAGAGTTACATCTTCAAGGTGCTGGATTCAGCAATATGTTAATATCCCATCTGTGGGCTAGATCCATGCAAGAGCATCAAGTCACTCAGGTGCTAAGCACTGGCAGATTTCACAGTCAAACCTGCAGAATGGCCCAGAAATGAGATGAACAATCCCACAACTGAGTTGTAGGTATGGCATTCAATACCTCCTGCATGTTGGGTGTAAGCCCAAGAGTAACCAGCTCAACAGCCAAGTGGATTTGTGCATGACAGCATCAATTTCTGTGCAGACTGTGTCTCCTTAGTGAAGTCACAGCCTGACAGGTGTGCTGAATCTTGGTCTGAGAGTCACCAACCTACATGTATCATGTATGAGTCAATTTTTCCATTTGACTGACTATACATGTGAGACTCAGAACCTCAACAGTGATGTGTGTTTATGTCAGAGGATGACAGTATTTACCGTTGGCTGGGTGTGTATATGAGTGTCACAATCTCACCTGTTGTGCTCAGCCTGGTTAGCACAATCTGTGTACTATCCAACGGCCTTATACAGTGTGAATGAGAGTTGCAATCAATTTTGAGACCTTTCTGCTGGTATGGACACATGATTGCACCTGTGGCATTAAGTTTGGGTATGACAGTCAACATCACTACAATTAACTAGGTCAAGATAGGAGAGTCCTCTCTTGCCTGTGAGCTGGGTTTAGAAATGAGTCACCCTGGCTGGGTGCGGTGGCTCACGCCTGTAATCCCAGCACTTCGGGAGGCCGAGACAGGCAGATCATGAGGTCAAGAAATCAAAACCATCCTGGCCAACATGGGGAAATCCTGTCTCTACTAAAAAAATACAAAAATTAGCTGGGCGTGGTGGTGCTTGCCTGTAGTCCCAGCTACTCAGGAGGCTGAGGCAGAAGAATTGCTTGAACCCAGAAGGCAGAGATTGCAGTGAACCGAGATTGCGCCACTGCACTCCAGCCTGGCACCTGGCGACGAAGTGAGACTCTGTCTCAAAAAAAAAGAAAGAAAGAAAAAAAAAGAAAGAAAGAAAAAAAAAGAAATGAGTCACCCTTTCAACTGTGGTTGAATGTTTACATATGAACATGGGCCTAGCACCAAGGTGATGTGAGTCTTTGGCCTAGACACTTCAAGCAGGAGGCAGTGGGACATATCTCTGGGCCTATCTGAGCTTTTCCCATAAAACGGATGTGACATATGTCTAGACCCAGCACCTAGGTGATGTGACTCTCCTTTTTTGACTAAGCTCTGTGTATTTTGGGCATTCTAACATATCCCTGGACCTAACATCTAGAAGATAAGGAGACTCTGCATGGGCCATACCTAAAAAGTTTCTTGTGACATAGTTCTACATTAATCACCTTGGAGAGATGACTCTCCTCTCTTACCTGGGCTTTGCCCATAAGAGAGATTGTTACACACCTCGGCACCATGCACCTAAATGCCGTGACTCTTCTTTCTTGCCCAGGTCATGCCCACAGATGAAAGAATGACTTATTTCTGTGTCCAGCATACTGGTTATGTAATTATTCTGCCTGATCTCTGCTCACAGGAGGCATTGTGACATATCTCTGGGCCCAGAAACTATTTAATACGACTCTCTTCTATTACCTTAAATTTGTGCGTTAAGATAAATTGTGACATTTCTCTGGGTCAGCACACAGGTGATGTGGCTTTCCATTTCTGCATGGGCTTTGTTCACAGGAAAGAGACTGACATGTTGCTGTATTGACAGGTGATGTGATACCTCGGTTCTTATCTCCTTAGTTTAGTGCACATGTGCAGTAGCTTTACATGCTTCTTCATATGTTGTATGTTTCAGTAGCAACTTAGATCTCCACCCAGGAGTGTATGTTTGTTGTTTGCTTGTTTGAGATGGAGTCTCCCTCTGTTGCCCAGGCTGAAGTGATCTCCGCTCACTCCAACCTCCGCCTCCTGAGTTCAAGTGATTCTTGTGCCTCCTGAGTAGCCAGGATTACAGGCATGCACCACCATACTTGGCTGGTGTTTGTTTTTAATAGAGATGGGGTTTCATCATGTTGGCCACTCTAGTCTCGAACTTCTGGTTTCAAGTGATTCACCCTCCTCAGAATTCCAAAGTGCTGGGAGTACAGGTCTGAGCCACTGTGCCTGACTGGGGGTTGCATTTTTTGCCATTAAAATAAGCAAAAGTTAAGTTTGAGGACAGGTAAAATCAAAACGCACATGCTCTCTAGAGCAGAAAGTCCTTAATGAAGATACCTTTGCTTGAATAAGCCCAATGGGAATGCTAAGGTTTATTGTGTTGGCTGTGCAGTCACCACGGTTTCTGTATCCTGAGATCATGGCTAGTTTCTTGACTATCTTTTCTGCTTCAATTTCCCCCTAAGAGATCTTAGGGCCATAATCACATTGGAGGTTGAGGGGCTAGGTCATTTTTTCTGGAGCTGTTTTCTACCGAGTGGGTGTTATTTCTGTCAAGCCTGGGCCCTAAAGTTTCTTCCCGTGTGATCTAACAGGGTGTAAACCATGTCATTTATGGAACCAGTGGGTAAGATGTTGGCAGCCAAAGGTTGAATGCCTTGCAAAACTATCATGCAAAAAAAGAACTGCTGTAAGCAAGACAGCAAGAAATCAGTTAACATTTTAAACAAAGTTGGAACAAAAGTTAAAGCCGAAAGAATAGTAATGACTGATACTATTAAAGAGAGCAAGGCAGGTAATAGACATTGCTTTCACGTTCCAATGGAAGTTCCTAGAGATTTAATTTTGTCTGTCTGTGTGATGATATTATCACTATTTTCTTGGAATAAACCAGACTAATTGGTCTCAAAAACAGCATTCTCCTTCTAGATATAAACGTGTTCCTCACAGCCTGGCTATGAGAAGATCCCAGGCTCTTTGGTTCTGTAGGACTACAGTGGCCATGGAGTACAGATGTTGTTGAAGTCTACTGAGGCCCTCTGCTGCTTGTTGGGAAGCCATTGTGGTTTCCTGAGATCCTTTATACTAGATTCCCAAGGCTCCACCTTATGGTGACATTTGTGCTGCAAAAGTATTTTGCATTAAAGTGGTGGAAGCAGTGAAAGTTTTAGTGTTTTCTGGTTTTTGCCAATAAACAAAAGTTTTGTGTAGCTAAGTTGATGGCAGTCATCGGGTCTATTTATGGATGATAAAGCTGAATGGTGGACAAAGAAGTCTTCAGTATACGCACTGAAGTTCTCTAAGAGCCATCAGAATTGTTGCTTACATTGGATTAGATCATTTATTGAGAACAGAACATGCACTCTCATGGTCCTCTCTGCATTTGGGACTTTCTGCAGGGAGAGCAATTTTGCTGGCCCTGGATGGTATTAAGTCCCATGAGTATTGCAGCTGGGCTGGTCTCTACTGTTCCTGGCAAAGGCCTTTAAGGAAGAGCATAAAAAGGAGGTGAAACAAGATTTGATTCTACAGAAGACTCTGATAATGTGCGGGATGCTGGGGATTCTAAAGGTGTGGGCTCCTGAGAGCCCCTATCTGGAGCTGGTGTTGGGCTCTGGGGTCTGGGGCCTCTTCCCCTTAATAAGAATGGGTCTTCTAATGGGTCTGAGAGGCTTTCTTGCTTACTAGGCTTTAGCCCACAGGTGCTGCATAGAGCTGGGTTTTGTTCTCAGGCCATAAAGGCTTTCACATAGGATACTTCAGACCATTTTCCCTGATTTCTACAGAAGAGATCTCGCTGTAGGATGCTGTTAAAGTTCACAGTCTCATTCTCCAGTCATGTATTATCAGCTAATCTGTACACAGGCTAAATAGTGTTACAAAAGAAGATAAGGCTTTCTTTTTTTTTTCTAGTTCATCTAGCCAAAAGCCGTTCCAATAACATCTCAGTGGTTTCGATGACAGTAGAGGTAAAGGCTCCCCACAGTGCCGAGAGAATCCCGCAACGACCGAACATGTACTGAAATCCAGGAGGCGACGGGCCTCCCCATGAGCCAAGCGGAACCACCAAGGTGTCCAGAGCATCCCTTCAAAACCCACTAACTAAAGCTCTTGGAGGTCACAGGCATTTGCCATACACTGTCCTACCTCTCGCCAGTGCTAGACATTTCCAGCCCTACTGAGATGACTCCTACTGCTGGCTGTGGGGCAGATGTCTCGCTGACAAGCCTTTTCTTAATTCACCGGTTTGCCCTTTGTGATGCTCAATTATTAATACCTGGAATGCTCAGATGCAATCCCCACGACCGAGCATCTACATGACTGCACTTTTTGTTCAGCAAAGAAAGCCTGTTGAAGAACAATGTCAAGGAGCTGGAAAATGCAAGAAGCCCGAAGGGACAGGGTGCTCTTATTCTGCCCCTCAAAACAAAACAAAACAAAAATTTTGTATACAGAAAACCTGATCAGAAAATAAATTACAATAGCCACTAGGTGGCGATCGAGTATTACTGAAGCGACAGCAAACGGTAAGCTGAGTCTGAACTGTGGCCAGAAAGATGTGAAACTAAGCACCAACGTAGCCCGAATATGAACTGTTGACAGTGACCGATGTGATTAGTGTATTTGTGGATAGTACAGAAGTAGCAGCCAAAAGGAGATCAGACTTATATTCTCTCTCTAAAGAATATTGGTGACTTAAAAAACGTTTCCCTCGGAATTTTACTGAAACAGCACTGGAACAAGCAACGATAGTTAACCAGGTAGTCTGGAACTGCTATAGTATTCAAGGCAAGTAAAGGGAAAGTGAAATTAATGAAGCGGACAAACCTCTCACCGGGCCATGGCACCAGACATGATGATGGCTGATGTAATACCTTGGTTCTTATCTTCTTAGTTTAAAAGAATTTAAACAATTTAAACACACAGCAAAAGAAGTACAACATAGAGTAATTTATTGAAAAAAAAAGACTATTTTGAAAATCAAATGCAGAATAGATGGTACACTCTGATAAAGAAATTCCAGAGCAGCCTGCTCATAAGGGTGAGAAAGCATTAATTATTGGTGGAGAAACCCTCTTTATGGGGAGTTTTACATGATTATTCATAAGAAGGTGGAAAGAAGTGTTTACACTAAGCATGTTCTGCGTGGTCTTCTCGGTGCACATGTGCAGCAGCTCTACATATGTGTGCATACATTGCATATCTCATTAGCATCTTAAATCTTCCCCCAAGAGTGTGGTTTTTATTATTAAAATGAGCAAAGCGTCAGCTTGAGGACAGGTCAAATCAAAATGCACATGCTCTCTAGAAGTAAAAGTCCCTACGGAAGACAGGTTCCAAATGACCCCAGGTACTCAACATCTTAAAAGTCGCTCCCACAAAGCTGGAACACTGTCTGTTCCTGAAGGATCAGGTCCCATTTGTGTCTCCGAGACACTGGCAAGTCAGGCCCGACTTGAGATGAGACCGATGATTTCAATTGTAAAATGCCTAAATCGTCAGCAGCTTCAGGTTGCATTTTGGAGCTTGTCCACTTTAACGGCTTGATTGAAAATGCCTCACAAGACTCGTGCCTCGGAAATGGGGTTTTCTCCTTTACTTTTAGCAGATTTCGTGCAACCCTACACTTAACCTTCCTAATGCATCGACTTTCACATTCATGAAAAAACCGCCATTGAGAGTGACATTTCCAGGAAGTCACAGTCCTGGTCACTGCTCTACAGTGCTCTGAAGCTGTTCATAATCAGGCCAGGTGGAAGATTTCTCTCAAAAGCAGTTGAGCACGCGCTCTGGCTAGAGAAAAAAGAGGGTTGTGGCACAATGGAGAGTGTCTCGGATATCAGGGCAGTTTCCCCAACAGTTTAGGAAAGAAGCAGCGCCCTGGGCTGCAGAAGACACAATGCTCTGGAAAGAACCCTGGGTGCAGGTGAAAGAGAAAATCGAGCAGGACAGGACCAATCGGGTGAGGACAACCCGCCCGATTTGGGCAAAGGTAAAGTATCTTTGTAGGGTAATGCCCTCCTCAGTGCCCAGCCCAGACCTTCCCTCAACGTCCACATCTGTACTCACTATCCTTGGCAAAGAGTCGGCATGGATTCAGAGCCCAGCAGTACTTTGTACACCAAGAAGTCAACACCGGTCTGCCCCTCCCTCCAGGGCTATGCACTCCAGATCCCGGGACATGCTGGGATTATAGTTCTAAAGCCTACCGACAAACAGGCTGAGAGCAGTTGAGGGACTAGAGCTCCCAGCATATGACTAGGTGGGATGCGAACCACTCTGCTCCTCTTTCCAGAGCTGCGCAAAGCCCTGGAGCCTGCTGCATGCTGGGATTGTAGTCCTGCAGCTGCTTGACCAAAGGGCTGGGAGTGTTTATAAGCATACATCTCCAAGCAAGCCTAGGGAGGTGCACACAGCCCCATTTCTTCACTTGTCCCTGAGACTGGTGCATGCTAGAATTGTAGTCCTGCAGCCCTGTGACCAAAGAGCTGGGAGTGCTTATGAGCATATATCTCCCAGAAAGCCTGTGGAGAGCCACACACAGTCCCGCCTCTTCCTCCAGTGACGCGCACTGTCACTGGCCCCGGTGTATACTGGGATTGTAGTCCTTCAGCCCTCTAACAAAAGGTCTGGGAGTCTTTCTAAAACTACACATCTCCCAGCAAGGAGAAGGAGACATTCACTGCACTGCCGCTTCCTCGTGTAATGCGCACTGTTCCTGAGCCGAGTGCATGCTGGAACTGTACTCCTGCAGTCTGGTGATAAAAGGCTGGGAGTGTTTATGAGACTACATCTCCCAGCAAGCCAAGCGAGGTGCGCACAGCTCTGCCTCTTCCTCCAGTGAAGTGCACTCTCCCTGAGCTCGGTGCATGCTGGGATTTAGTACTGCAGTCCTGTGACCAAAGGGCTGGGACTGTGTAAGAAACTGCATCTCCCAGCAGGACCAGCGAGGTGCGCACAGCCTCGCCTCTTTTTCCAGTGACTAGAGAACTGTCCCTGAGCCCCATACGTGCTGGGATTACGGTGCTGCAGCTCTGTGACCAAAGGGGAAGGGAGAGGCCATGAGACTACATCTCCCAGCAAGCCCAGCAAGGCTCACAAAGCCCTGCCTCTTTCCCCAGTGATTGGTGCACTGTCCCTGAGCGGGGTGAATGCTGGGATTGTAGTCCTGGAATCCTGTGACCAAAGAGCTGGGAGTGTTAATGAGACATCTTCCAAAAAGCATAGTGAGAAGTGCACAGCGCTTTCTCTTCCTCCAGTGACGTGCACTGTCCCTGACCCCAGTGTTAAAGTATTCCAGGCATATGACAAAAGGGCTGGGAGTGAATACACTTCCCAGCAAGCCCAAGGAGGTGTACGCAGCGCCGCCTCTTCCTCCATTGACGTACATTGTCCCTGAGCTCGGTGTATGCTGGGATTGTGGTGCTGCAGCCCTGTGATCAAAGGGCTGGAAGTGGTTATGAGACTACATCTTCCAGCAGGCCAAGCGAGACATGCGCAGCCCCGACTCTTCCTCCAGTGACACGGCATTGTGACATGGCATTGTCCCTGTGCCCGCTGCATGCTGGGACTGTAGTCCTGCAGTGCTGTGACCAAAGGGCTAGGAGTGTTTATGAAACTACATCTCACAGAAAGCCCAGCGAGCTGCACACAATCCTGTCTCTTCCTCCAGTGACCCACATTGTCCCTGAGCCCTGCGCACGCTGGGATTGTAGTCCTTCAGCCCTGTGACGAAAGGATTGGGGGTGTTTATGAGAATACATCTCCCAGCAATCCCAGTGAGTCGCCCGCAACCGCACCTCTTCTTTCAGTGACACGCCATGTCCCTGAGCCTGGTGCTGGCTGGGATTGTAGTCCTGAAGCCTTGTGACCAAAGGACTTGGAGTGTTTATGTGACTACATCTTCCAAAAAAACACAGCGAAAAGTGCACAGCCCCGCCTCTTCCTCCAGTGAGGAGGGGGCCCTGTTTCTAAGCCTGGTGCATCCTGGAAATGTAGTCCTGCAGTCCTGTGAACAAAGGGCTGGGACTGTGTATGAGCATACATAACCCAGCAAGCCCAGCGAGGCACACACCGCCCCGCCTCTTCCTCCAATGACACGCACTGTCCTGTGCCCGTTGCATGCTGGGATTGTAGTCCTCCAGCCCTGTGACCAAAGGTCTGGGAGTGTTCTTGAGACTACAACTCCCGGAAAGCCTACTGAGGTGCTCATAACTTGTGTTTTCCTCCAGTTACCGGCACTGTCACTGAGCCCGGTGCACTCTGGGATTGTGGTCCATCAGCCCTTTAACAAAAGGGCTGAGAGTGTTTGAGAACCCATCTCCCAGCAAGCCCAGCGAGTCACAAACAACCCAGCCTCTTCCTCCAGTGACGCAAAATGTCCCTGAGCCAGGTGTGGCTGGGATTATAGCCCCATAGCCCCGTGGCTACATCTCCCAAAAAACATAGCGAGGAGCGCACAGCCCTGCCTCTTTCTCCAGTGATGGGCACGATCCTTGAGCCAGGTGCATGCTGGGATTGTAGTCCTGCAGCCCTGTGACGAGAGCTGAGAGTGTTTATGTGAATACATATCCCAGCAAGCCCAGCAAGGCATGCACAGCCCCGCCTCAATATTCTTGATCTTGGTACATAAGGGAATTGTAGCCCTGCAGCCCTGTAATGAAAGGGCTGGGCGTCTTTATAAAACTACATCTCCTAGCAAGCTGAAGGAGGCACGCACAACCCTGCCTCGTCCTCCAGTCACACACACTATTCCTGAGCCGGGTGCACGGTGGGATTGTAGTCCAACAGTCCTGTGACCAAAGGGCTTGGAGTGTTTATGAGACTGCATCTCTTAGCAAGCAAAGCGAGGCATGCAGAGCCCCGCCTTTTCCTCCAGTGATGCACACGGTCCCTGAAGAAGAGTTCATGAGATTACATTTTCCAGTAAGCCCAGCAATTCACTCACAGCCCTACGTCATCCTCCCGCGATGTGTGCTGTTCCTGACTCCAGTATATGCTGGGATTTTGGCGCTGCAGCCCTGTGACCAAATGGCTGGGAGTGTTTATAAGACTGTATCTCCCAGCAAGCCCAAAAGGTGCTTATAGCCTCTCCTCTTTTCTTCCAGTGACATGCGCTGTCTGTTAACCGATGCTTGGTGGAATCTTCCTGTAGCCCTGTGAGGAAAGGGATGGGAGTGATTATAAGACTACATCTCCCAGCAAGCCTAATGACGTGCTCACAGCCTCCCGTCTTCCTCCAGTAATGCACATTGTCCTTGAGTCCGGTCCATGCTGGGATTGTAGCCCTGCAGCCCTCTGACCAAAGGACTGGGAGTGTATTCTTACAGATCCGTTCACTTGTCATGAGAATGTTTTTCTTTACCCCATGAACATACTTTACAATAGCTTTCTTCAAGTCTTACATACTGATTACAGCATCCTGGACATGTTGAGAATAGGTTCTGTTGTCTGCTTTTTATCTTGTGAATTGATTGCATTTTCATGCTTCTTCACACATCTCATGAATTTTTAAATTGTGCAATAGGAACTGCGGGGACTCTGAATTCTGTTGTATATCTTTGAAAATTGTTATTATTTTAAGAGGGAGTTAATTTGAATAGACTCAAACTTCAATTCTTACATCTGTTACAGTGACATAGCTGAAATCCTCATTCGGTTCTTCCAAACATTCATATTATATATGTATTATACATAGATGTGCATTTCTATATAGCAAAATATAATATTTTATTAAGCTTTATTATAGTTATCTGTGAAATTGTTATTCAACAAACTACTTCATTATTACTGGAAGTCAGAACCTCAGTTTTGTTCACTTTTTGGACTTTATGTAAGTGAAATTATATAATATGCACACTTTTACATCTACTTTCTTTTATGCAACATTATATTTATATTTATGCTATTGCAGATAGTTATAGTTTGTTCATTTAAAAAATAATTTTTTATGTGGGCTCTTTCTGTGAAGAAAGTCAGTGGTAGCTTAATGGGGATAGCACTGAACCTATACATTACTTTGGGCAGTATGACCACTTTCACAATATTTATTCTTTCTATTCATGAGCATGGAATGTTTTTCCATTTGTTTGTGTCTTCTCTTATTTCCTTGAGCAGTGGTTTGTAGTTCTCCTTAAAGAGGTCATTCACATCCCTTGTTAGTTGTATTCCTAGGTATTTTATTCTCTTCATAGCAATTGTGAATGGGAGTTCACTCATATTTGGCTCTCTGTTATTGTTGTATAGAAATGCTTGTGATTTTTGCACATCGATTTTATATCCTGAAACTTCTGAAGTTGCTTATCAGTTTAAGGAGATTTGGGGCTGAGATAATGGGGTTTTCTAAATATAAAATCATGTGATCTGCAAACAGAGACAATTTGACTTCCTCTCTTCCTATTTGAATACCCTTTATTTCTTTGTCTTGCCTGATTGCCCTGCCCAGAACTTCCAATACTATGTGAATAGGAGTGGTGAGAGAGGACATCCTTGTCTTGTGCCAATTTTCAAAGGAAATGCTTTCAGCTTTTGCCCATTCAGTATGATATTGACCATGGGTTTGTCATAAATAGAGCTTATTATTTTGAGATATGTTCCGTGAATACCTAGTTTATTAAGAGTTTTTAGCATGAAGGGCTGTTGAATTTTTTGAAGGTCTTTTCTGCATCTATTGAGATAATCATGTGGTTTTTGTCATTGGTTCTGTTTATGTGATTGATTACATTTATTAATTTGCATATGTTGAACCAGGTTTGTATCCCAGAGATAAAGTAGATTTGATCATGATGGATAAGCTTTTTGATTTGCTGCTGGATTTGGTGTACCAGAATTTCATTGAGGATTTTTGCATTTTCTGTCTTCCTCAGCACAGCACCACTGATGAATAATTGTTTGAGAATTATGCATAAATTGGCCTTTATTATTTTAAATTTAGTAAATGTTGAAATAGAAACAAACATTTTTATCTACTTTCAAATTGAATAAGAGCATTGGCAACTTTCAGGAAAACATCACAGAATAAAACTCTGGAGTTTGCCCATCCCAGAAACCTAGGAAATCCTGATACCACCTGTAGAATTAACCGTATCAACACTTAATTTTTTTGCCATACTATTTATATTCATGAAAAACATAATTTCATCGGACATTTATTTTGTTGTATGCCATGAAAAATGAATCAGTTTTGTGTTAAGAGCGTCACATTTTTACACCTCAAGTATTAGTGATGCCATTCTCCACGTTGCTTTTATTGCTTACTAAATTATTGCTCTGGCCTGAATGTTTAGGTCCCCTTTCAAATTCATATGTGGAGAATATTAGGCATCTGGCCTTTGAGGGAGTGATTAAGCCAAGAGTGCTTTGTCTTC